GAGAAGCCAAGGCTGAAAGAAGTAACTCACCCAAAATAACACACATAGTAAGTTATTCAGGTGGGATTTGAACCTGAGATAAATGCCTCTTGCCTTTGCTATAGAACCGTAACTCCTCTGTAGGTGCCCCCTGGTTTACAATATTAGTTATCAATTGATATTATTAGAAGGAATACTTACATATTCCAGCTGGAGGGCTATAAATATAAATCTGAAGAAAATTGCCTAATATCTTACCCTATCCCTGCCATAGTATACTTATTATTAGTCACAATTACATGTTTACTTATGAACTGGATGCTTCACCAGACTTTAAGCTGTTTTTGGTCTCCACTGCATCTTAGCACCTAGGATACTACCTGCTACCTAGGGTACTCAATTATTTGTTCAATGATTATTACATCAACAAATATTTGAAGTTATTTTAGATTTTCATTAGGCTGATGCTACGGGCAAAGTAAGTTACACACAAAAATTCATATGCTGAAGTCTCAACTTTTAGTACCTCAGTATGTGACTATGTTTGGAGACAGGGTCTTTACAGAGTTAATTAAGTTGAAATAAAGTCATTAGGGTAGGCCATAAGTCAATATGACCGATGTCCTTATAAAAAAGAAGAAATGTGGACACAGACACATTCAGGAGGAAGGTGTGTGAAGAGTTGGGGTAAGACGGTCATCTGCAGTTAAGATGGCACAGATCCTTCCCTTGTCACCCTCAGAAGGAACTCACTGCCCACACCACGATCTCAGACTTGTGGCTGCTAGAACTGTGTGAAAATACATTTCTGTTGTTCCAACAAATTAATCTCTGGGACTTTGCGTGGCAGTCCTAGCAAATGAATATAGTGGTATAGCAAGATAAATTTTCTGTCAAGAAAGTTCATGTTAAGATTTTTAAACCACTTAACAACATTCAAAGTTTTAAAGCTGTCCCAGGAATATTATCGTCTGTCCTAAAATAAGTCGATTTAGTGTGTGTTACATACAGCTCTGGCCACTGTATCCAGTCCTGGAGGAGGTTCTATACCAGACAGTCTGGAAGGGAAAAGAGTACTAGTTGTTAAATAATACAGTTAGTTATTCTTTTGAAGAAATGATATATAGACTGTGTAGTTTTAGAAAGAAATACTGAATTAGAAATGTTGTAATTTCCCAAGAAGACCCCAACTTTTCCTTTTTCATTCAGTCTTTGCCAGTCAGTAGAAGAGTCAATAGAAATAATCTAAGTTCTGTCATTTTATTGGAAGGTAGAGGAAGAAAACCCTAACAAGTCCCAGTTTAAGGGCAAAGTAGCTAAGTCTGATCTCAGCAGAATTCAGAGCAGTTTAAGTGGCTGCCCAACTGACTTATGATGACAAACTGTGCAGTTTCTCCCGAAGCTTCCTGCCATGGTTCTCTTCATTGTGTAGCCGTAGAAATGCTTGGCCTTACTTTAAGGATTTTACTCGCCATTAGGACGGATTCGCTACTCTGTCTTCATACTGGCTGGGGATGTTCTCACAGGAAGTGACCCCACCTTCTGATTCCAGGATCCGTACATTTCATTTATATTAATTTGGTTTCCTCCAAAATGACAAGCAAGGAATATTCTGCTGTGCTAATGTCAGGATTTTGCTATTTTCAAGGGTTTTTTCAAATTGGAAAAAAAAAACATTCAGAAACATGGAAATGATTTGGGTTTATATTAAATTCTAAATATGGGTTAACTACATAGAGGCACATAAACAACCTAATTGTAATTGTAAATTACCATGTTGTGCAGGAAAACAGACATATGGCAGGTGTCTTCACTAGCTCAGCTACATTACAGCTCCTAAGCATTCATGGGCATCTGATCTTTAAAAACATAATCCAAACCCTAATTTCCAGCATTTGTGCTTCTCACCCAGTACTTGTCCATCTAGAGAGCTGTCATTCTCTTATAGAAACTACAAACATGACTAAAAATAACGTGGTTATGTTTAGGTTTTAAAAATTGCTTTGAAATGAGGAACGAGTATATTAGAGACAATTAAAATGATTTTAAAGAAATATTTCTTAGAATAAATTATATAACTATCATGTACAGCAAGAATTCTAAGAGCACCACCAATGATATATATTTTTTCACCACACAGTATGTTGTTGCTTTAAAAATGGTAAAATTTAATAAGATGTTTTGCCTCATTCAATGATCTACTCTGAACTTTGTGTCTGTCAAGAATTGCAGTCCTATAATAGTTTTAATGGTACATAGGATTCCTTTCTTTTTTTTGGGATCAGGGATTGAACTCAGGTCAGTGGAACCACTGAGCTAAATCCCTGGTGGATTCCATTTTATTTACTTAATCCTTTACTGAATGCATATTGCTATTCTTGCTGTTTAATTTTTTAAAAATGCTGCAATGACCAACTTTATTGTTAAATTTTCACACATATTTTCTTATAAAAATTCATAAAATGTGAAATGATGGCCCAAAGGGACTGCGTATTTTAAACTCCTTTCAGATGAATCACCAAACTGCTTTCTTGTAGGTCACACTGGTTCCCATTGAACGAAGCAGCCAAACATTTGTTTCTGTTGTTCTGCCCATCTCCAGGACCACACTAGACACACAGGACAAGGCCACATGACTCTGTCTTCAAGTTTCCCTTAAGTGCTCTGTCACATTTTATTCTTTTAGTCCAGAAACACTTTGTCTCAACGACTAACCACACACTCCACTGGGATTTTATTGGAACGGCATTGAAGTTTTACATAGATAATACCATTGTGTACTCTACAATGAATTCATCATGGCTTCTGAAAAAAAAAACCCAATGCTATTTAGTAAGCAAGACTATTTCTGGAAGAAAGGTGTGAACAAAAATGGCTGTTCTGAAAAATAAATTCCATGATACAGTTCTAGTATAATAAACAAGAATGTATAGACTATATACTTCAAAATAGGAAATTATAGAAAGCAGATGCTAAATCAGGAAAAAATAATGGTTTGGAATAAGGCAAGATATCTACATACCTCATATTTGCTTAGACAAAAGGTAAGAAAAGTAGGAAAAGGAGAAATTGCTCTTAATAATAAGAATTTAATTAAGGTGCTAAGGACTGATGAAAATATAAGAATAAGAAAGGTAATTATGCAATATTTAGTCCACACTTGAAATACATAAAAAATGATTCAGGGCTTAATACTACACTGAGTTAGGGATAGCCAGAAAATGCAGATTTTTAAAAACAAAAAAATTACCCATTTGATAGGTACTATTCAAGAGAAAACTACTGAAAGTAAGTTGGACAAAGGGAAGGTAATTCTCATAGTTTGAAACTCTGTATCTATAAAGAGTCATGGTTCTCTGAAAATTTGATGAAAGCTATCAATCATTTGAAAAGAAAATGCACATATATATGCATACTATTCTGCTTATATTGGAACAGGGCTCCAGGTCTTCAGGCTAGGAATATCTGCCTTGTCTAAAAGACACACACAAGATAATAGAAACTTGTGATAAAAGCACATTTTGAAAATGATGGTGAAGACCTACAGTCTTTAGTTTTTAAAAGGAGATGGGAGAAATCTGACAAATATGAAGACTGGCCTGCTGCTGACATCTGCCTTTATTAACTACTCAGTGAAACTGTTCTCCTTAGAGGTATCAATGCATCTTTGTTAATGGAAGAAAATCAATGGAATATTATTCAGTTACAAACGGAATGAAGTTGGTGCATGGCACAAAAAGATGCTGAGTGAAATAGGCCAGACATGAAAAGCCAACTATTATATAATCCCACTAATATAAAATGTCTAGAATAAACAAATTCATAGAGAAATAAATAAGTTAGACCTTTCTGGGGGGGAGGGATGGAGGAACAGTTATTGTTCAGTAAGTACAGGATTTATGTTTTTTTGGGAGGTGTCAAAATGTTGGAAATGGACAGTGGTTCCACATTGTGAATGTAATTCAGGTGCATAAAATGAATTTACATATAAAATGGTTATGATGGCAAATTTTGAGAAATACACTATATACATCAAAATAAAGGTAAAAGGTTACAGTTTTTATAGGTACCGAAAGAAAATGCTAAATAGAGTCATTAGTAATGCCTGGCCTTGTGTGATGATGAACTTAGCTATCGACTTAAAGTCAGAAGATCAGGATGTAAGCCTCTTCATCTCCCACTCCTGGCTCCACAGAGATGCTTTCCATGCAACCACCAGGAAAAAAGAACAGTGAGGTAAATACTCATCTAAACACCATTAGGAAAAAAGAAATCAAAGTAACCAGAAGAGACTGGGAAAGCTAGTAATAGAGATGAAAGCTAAAATTAATTATGGAAGAAAAACATCAGCAAACAAAATAAAAGTAAAAAAGCTTATCTTTTGAACATATCTACAGAGCATAAATAGGACAAGCAGGTGTGTGGCAGGAGATCTGAATAAAAGAACCTCCCCCACCCCGGTTGGTGCTGAGGATTTAGTCGAAGGTCTTGGGCATGCTCAGCAGGTGCTCTACCACTGAGCTACATCCCTTGCCCTAAACCACGGCCATCAAATCTGACCAAATAGAAGTGGAAAACTGGAAAAAAAAAATTTTCAAAGAAAAGGTGGGAGAAATGATTTAAGATGCACAGTAACAAAACCACCAGTGAATGTTGGATAAACAATCACAGACATCCATTCAAATGCCTATCTGTGCTCAAAAAAAAAAAAAAAAAAAAAAAAAGTGAAAAATTTCCAGGGAATAATCCAAACGGAACTGGAAACCAAAGTGTGCTAGAACCCGGGCCTAAGCTACAGCCACGCAGTTGTAAAGCTCAGTAACAAAGGGGCTGAGGTCAGCATGACTACAGTGGCAGGAGATAAACCCACAGGCACTGGCAATGAAAAGGTGAACTAGGAAAAAGGCAGCTTGGAGAACTCGTGTGTTTCAGCAGGGGCTCTGGGTACTCCTTTCCTATTCATTCTCAAGTTTTTCCCTATTATGCTGGGTTCTGTGTTTGTGTTGGCTCAGAGTTCTGCTTTAATAAAAAATAGTATTCTAAAGTAGTTGGTGACTTGAGTTTTTCACTCAATACTGTTTACAAGAAAAAAAAAATTAAACACTATTTCCTGAACGCCACATGGAACAACAGCCACAATCTTCAGTTAACAGCGAACCGAAATACTGAAACCATTTATTGAAACCATTTGTATATTGTAACATGCCTTAAAACCAGAGCATTTTTTAAACAAAGGGCAAAACACAAACCATCAATAAACTTCCCTCCCAAATTTCTTAAACACTTCCCGCCCACATCCCAACTGTGTATCCCCAACTCCTTCAGCCAGTGTGCGGGAGGTAAAACTTGGACCCCGGGGTGGCTGACCCAGCTTTCTTCTCGCTCCCTTCTCTCCTCACCCTCCCATCAGCTTGAAAGCCTGGGGAGGCCGAGGGTGGCAGCCGGGGCAGACAGAAGGGCTCCTCCTCCAGGAAAGGGTGTAGCGGGGTACAGGGGGCCAAGGTAGGGCCCCCCATAGTGGAGGAAATCGAGATGGAGCCCGGGTGCCAGGGGAAGGCACACCGGTGGTCCGGGGAGAGGGGGCCCGGCTGCTCCCACATCCTCCCACCCCGAGGAGCTCTGGGTCGGGGGACCACACGCCTGGCTCCGATGACAGAACCACATCCGGACCATCTCCTTCCGGAGCCGGAGGTACCCCGCGATGCAGCTGATCTGCTGGGGCGTGGGGTTCGGACACTGCAGGAAGAACCTCTCCAGGTCGTTCCGGAGTCTTCTCTCCCGGTGGGCCTGTCTCCGCTTCCGACCCTGCTGCAGGATCATCTCCATCTTCCACAAGCCTTGGTGGTTCTTGGCGTTCACCTCCGCCAGCCACATCTTCAGCAGCGGCCCCACCTTCCACTTCTTGGCTAGGCTGAGCTGCTGGGACTCGAAGCGGCAGATGGTCGTCTGGCTGAGCACCTCCCCAAACATAGCGCCCACGGCGACCCCCACATCTTCCTGCGAGTAGCCCAGGGTCAGCCTCCTCTCCCGCAGCTCCTTGGCCAGCTGCTCCATCTCCTTCTCCAGGGCCGAGACGTCCTCGGGCAGCGTCAATGTGGGGGCGTTCAGCAGCGCAATGTAGGGTTCCAGCCCAGGGGGGTCGGGGGGGCTTGGGAACCAGGGCCCAGCCTCGTCAGCTCTGCAGGGGGCCAGCCCGCCCCGGAATTCATAAGGCGAGGGACCTACAGGGACCCCCCACATCCCAGGGCCTCGGCAGATGCTTGCCCCGACCCCTGGCCAGACCATCAGTCTGCCAGGGGCTACCTGGACGCTTGTCCAGCTCGGAATGTCAACCCACAGGGGCGCCGGCCCGGGGGACCCACCCCTACCACTGTCTGGAGGGGGGCAGAAGGTTGGGGGCCTGTGTCCGGCCATGGGTAAGACGCCAACCCCCAAGAAGAGTCTGGTAGGAACCGATGGCCCTCGAGGCTTATGGAACAACCACCAGCCTGGTCCTCGAGCCCCGCCCTGCAGTGGGCGGAGATGACGTCGCTCGCAGGAGAAACTGAGGCCAAGGGGCTGTTTGAGCAGAGGCAGGAAAATCTTCGCGCAGCCACTCTGGCTCCTCGGGGTGAAGGGAGTGGGTCCCAGGCTCTGACCGTTGCTCTAAACTTCCACCAAGGTGCAAGGCCCCAGCTGGGCTCCCCTAGTCCCTTCCTTCATCCTGTCCCTGAATGGAGCCCGGGTATTTATCCGCTGTTCTGAAATTCAGGGGTCTTATCCTTTCCTTCAAATCCTGTGAATGACCCTGAGGGCTTCACAGATACTTATGACACTTCTACCGGCCAGGCATTGCAGGGGTCTCCCTGTCCGCTCATTAACTACTGCGTTATCTTCACGGCCCCACGTCCTGCCAACAGTCAGTCCCTCCTTTGCACAGCCTCCGTTCCCGTCCTTTAGAAACCGAGACTCCTGTGCTGGACTTTCTAGTTAACATCGGTTTACAGCCTCAGATTCTACCCCCACTCCCACATCTGCTGCGTTCCACTTCTTCCCCAGGGTGGACTTTCTTAACTAATTCCACGTTTCTCCCAACAGTCCGACCTCAGCTCCCTGGTCTAGAGTTTCCTCTCCAACAGACTTCCGCGGAAGATGCTCGCTGCAATCCCAACTTATCAACATCAGGCTCCTGTTCCCATGGACTGCCTGTCCCTTTAGAGACCCAACCATCTTAATTTGTCAACACCAGTCATGCTTCTCGCTCAGGAATTCAGGTCTGAGGCCCTGGCTGGACAAAGCTAAGAAGGAAGGGGAAAGAAAAGACCTGACCTAAGGTTCAAAGCTTCCAAGAAAGAAGAGGACAGTAGCTCGGGTTGGACAATCTCAACCTCTTACCCCTTCAGTTTCTAACCCAGCCATGATATGGCTCTGTCCACACCCCAGCGACTGAAGTGAGTCTTCTGGAAGTCAAGGATGCCCCTCAGACTGTCAAATTAAAGACCCTCATCTTACTAAACTTCCCAGCAGGGTCCAGTGATGCCGATTATTCTCTTTGCTCTTTCTCCTTTAAAAATTTATGTGAAATGCTAGTAAGAGCCAAATTTGCATTTCAGCCATGACTTCTCTTCTGATTTTCACTGCTTCAACTAAAATTCATTTACTGTGTTTATAAAACTGCCTTTCCCTCCAGGGAGCCCTGAGCTGATCAGTGGCATTATCATTCACTTGGTCCCCAAACTTAAACTCAGCAATTGTTTCTGACTTTTCCCATAATCCATAAGTCACCAAGTCTTCTGTGGATATGGTTCTCCTAGATCATCTGAACTCTACCACCTTTGCCCTAGCTGGCCTCTCATCTGGCTGATGTAATATAACCCACATGATTTCTTATCTAAAATTTCACAATAACTTTACAGTTGGCTTTCTGTGCTTCTCCTTTATATTTAAGTTGCATACTGCTGCTAGAGAGAATTTTCCAAGAGCCAGTCCCAACTGTGGTACTAGTTACTTTTCTCTCGTTGCAGGCAAAATACCCGACACCCAAAGTTAGAAGGGAAGGGGTTTATTTAGTTTAGAGTTCATAGATGTTTCAGTCCATAATTGGCCGGCTCCAAGGATAGGGTGGCAAACAGGCATCGCAGAGGAGAAACCACATGGCAGCAAAGGTAACAAGAGGATTTAACAGCACCTTTCTGCCCCTTTAATCTTATTCAGACTACCAGGATTATGGTGGTGCCTAACTAATCACTCATGCATAACAGTTTAGTAATCACACGCTCTTAACCCCAGCATCACGCATTACAGATTCAACTACCTCTGAAAAAGAAAGTCTCACCTCATTCTCATGAGGCTTTGTGGCGGGGGGGGGGGGAATCTAGACACAAACCATAACACCTACCAAACCTGACAATCACTTTCCTCTTACAGCATCTTCAAATCTTGTTCCTCTTTCCTTTGACTGACATTCAGAATTCTGCTCAAATATTCTCTTATTAGAGAGGACATCCTGACCACTCTATTGAAATAGCACCCCTTGGCATTCCGTGTCCCCTTCTAGTCTGCTTTAGTTTTTGGTATTATACTCAGCTCTACCTTATATATATTTATTTGTCTATCTGTTTCTTGTATTTCTCTACTGCAAGAGGCCAGGGACTTTGTCTGGTTCCCTGCTGTGAGGACAGTGCCTACAACAGCACCTACAGCACAGAAGGTGCTCGGTGAACGTGTGTTGAATGAATGAAGTGTGTTGTACTTCCCACCACCTTTAAGACTCAGGTGAGCTGGTAAGAAACATCCTCTGCAGGCAAGTTTGTTACTGCTTTATGGTGCTACCCTCTACTTCATGTAAGTATTTTTATTATAAAATTATTAGTAATAATAGTACTAGTAATGAATGTCAGTAATTATTTGTTTTATATCTTTGTCCCTCCAAGTAGAGTGGGAAGCACGCATGGAGGCGTTACGAAGCCTGGAACATAACAGAACCTTGGCTCATATAGTGCTCAACAACTGCTTTCCGAATAAATGAGGGAATCTTTACCTTTACAATTCTGAGAAGAAAGCTCATTTAATTTCAGGTGAACTATGAGAAACTTGACCTTCCCAGGCACCATTTTTCTCTTCTGCTCTTGTATGGAGCAAGGCGCTTATACAACTCTTCCTGGATGAGGGGAGCAGCTTGGGACTATATCACACTCAATGCTAGCAGTACTGAGGTTGCAGATATGGGCTTGAAGTAACGGTGACGAGAGGAGGCGGACCAGAGAACCAACTGCCATCTCCTCGGGCTGTGTCTGTGATGTGTGTCGTCTGCACCTCACTGTAACCCCCGCAAGAGTGTGTGCTCACTAAGGCAGGGTCTGTATTCCTCTTGTTCACCACTAGATCTGCAGACCCAGAGCTAACTAGTGGATACATCCTGGAAAGTGAAGAAATATTTATTGTTAAGTGAATGACCCTCTTTACCACTAATGATTAAAAGTTTTGTATTTTCCTGGAATTATATTTCAAGGTGCTAGTCTATGAAAAAAAGTTTACAATATACACAATTCCACAGAAGAGTAATTTTTCCATTATCTATTCTTTCCACATATATCAACATGCTGTTTTTGTCAGAATCACAAAGTAATCAATGTCTGCTAAAGAGAATGGAAGGTGGGTCACAGAGAAGGGTGGCGAACCTATGGCACGCATGCTGTGGTGAGCTATTTGTATCACTGAAAGCTCTAAAAAGTTTGCCACCACTAGTATACACTAAGGGTTACAAAGTGAAAATGGCCCATTTGCATGAGAAACATCAGAGAAAAGGTTCATTAGTTGTTTAAAGCCAAGACAATATATATATATATTTTATGGGTACCGGGGGATTGAACTCGGGTCCTTGGGCTTGCAAGGCAGGCCACTGAACCACTGAGCTAAATCCCTGGCCCAAGACAAAAATATGTTTAGTGAATTGGAAAAATGAATTCAATGAATTTGAGCTAAGCTTTATCATATTAATAAGTTAAAATATAATAGCTGAAAACAATGACTGAATGAATAACTTGATCTTGGGTGTTCTCAATGAAGGCTTTCTTTGTGCCTGGCCAGACCTCATCTGTCACTGCATGTGTGTGTCTCCTGGTTTATGCATATGGACTGTCACAAAGGAAATACATATTCTTAAGGGAAGTCTTGATATCTCCTTAAAAGTATATTTAATGTGCCTTTAAATGGACTGACCGGGAAAAATAAGCAGAAGCATGTGTGGTTAGAACAAAAACTGACATCAGGGAAAGCAAGCTGATGGGAATGCCCAAGACAAGAAGTGCTGCTTGGGCAGGCCACTTCGGAAGGCTAATCCATCACCTTCAACAAATACGGAGACCTTTCAGTAAGTGATTAGATTACCATGTAAGAATCTCATCCATAGGGAATTGGAAAATAGGATAAGAAATTCATAGTCCCAGGCCCCTGTGTGTTTATAATCTACATGTGGGACAATATAAATGGTCAGGCAAACAGGACAGCTGTACTCACCCAAGACAAGTTAAGACTTTTCTATTATTAAGGTCTCTGGAATTAAGAGTTTTTCTGAAATAGTTGTTTTGAGTAGAAATGCACAAAGGATGAGGATTTGGATTATCAGCCTCCATATCCCTTATTCTCAGGAAGCAAAACCAACTGCCACGATTCATATATGGTAAGAAGCAGGAAAGGGTAGAAGCAGAGTTAGTAATGAACATTCTTATAGGGCTTAGTTCCTCTCTGTGGAGTCTTCCCTATCCACACTGGAGGGGAATCACTATTCTTCTCTCCTTGAATTTACTCTATTTTCCACTCAAGATATATTTTCTGCCTTAAATGGTTAGCTGGAGGTTCATATCTTGCTCTTCTAGCTAGGAGATGTAGAATCACCCAAATGGGTATTTACAGATATAATTTCCTTTGTACTTATGTGCCAGGTAAGGAGTTACTTCATGGGCTAACCACAGTGCTCTGGGGATGGTATGCTCATGGAAATATGTGGAAGTAAGAGTGGTCTGACTTTAATTTAGTGTCATCCTGTTGGTTAGTTACTATGTGCCAGGACGGTGCTTCATTTCTCCAAATGCATCTTTCCCAAAGCTGGTCAGGATCTAGATGGAGGACAGCGTTTTGTTCAAGAATGTATGAGAACTCCCACTTCTTTAGTAGTCTCAAAACATACGCAACAGCAACAGCAGCAGCAGCAGCAACAACAAAATGCATTTATTTGTAATTAAATCAACAGCTGAGCAGAAAAATAATGTCCAGGCCAGAGAGCAAAAGCAAGGCAGACTAGATAGTAGTGATCTTTACTGTCTTCGTTATCCTGCAGGTGTGAGGACTGACCGGTAAGTGAAGACTGACCAGGCAGCACGGCATGGGACGAAGGCACAGTCCCTCAGAAGGGCAGGAATCAAGACAGTCTCTGGTAGCTGCCTGTTTTAAGGAATGATGCTTCCTACCTCACAGGGAGACGGTTAATGCCACACATTATCACGAGTAACTGCACTGAAAACTACCTCAAACTACTCTGAAATGATTACTCTTGATCCTTAGCATGGATCTTTAAGGACTATCAGACTATATTAGAGAGTATAAGGCAAAAGGAGATATTAAATATAAGTTATGTGTTAAGAAAAACTAATAAAGCAAGACTATAAAAACATTAAGGTTGTTGTAACCCAGAGAAAAAGCTAATCGAATCATTGTAGTTACTAAATAAGGTGATTCACTGCTGCGTGAAGTAATTATCAAAACAGGTAACAACAGCAGTGTGCTGCACAGGGGACAGCAGAGGACAGGAGGAGAAAAAGGGCAGCCACCGTGAACGGCAGCACAAGATGCTCTTAAGTCTGTACAATGCTTTGAGTGAAGCTGGAAGGCAGCAGTGGTGCCAACATTTAATTTACTTGCTACTAAGAGGCTTGGGATGTAGTTCAGTGGTATAGTGTAAGCCTAGCATGCCTGAGGCCCTGGGTTCAGTCTCCAGAGCTGTAGTCAAACAACTCAAAAAGTAAAACTCCAAAAAATTTTGGATTGAGATTATGAAGGGATTTTTTTTTTTTTTAGTTACTCCTTTTGGTTGCCATTCTTTTTATTATCTTAAAAAACTCTCTTGTGACATAACCACTGCTTAGAAATAAAGGCTTGTGGTAACCACACCGTTGGACACCACAAAGAGATGTAAAGTATTCAGAGAAAATCTTACATGAGAGATTCAAGAGTTACGGAATTCTTGTGCTATAAAATAATTCCACATATAAAAGCCCCGTAGCCTTTGCTGGAGGCCTTAATGAGTTTTAACCACTGTTTAAAGTAGGAGGAGCAGTTTAGCTGGAGTGGAGCTAAGTCAAAAGGCACTGTAGTGATGAGTCAGGTATATTCATAGCCACTTGGAGACAGGTAAAGTTGAAAGCTTCTTGTTATGCCAAGCATGACTTAAACAAACTTTTTAAGCTAAGTTTGCCCTTGTTCCAGAAAAAAAAAAAAAACTGTTGGGATGTGCTGGCATTGATTACTGCAGTCAGGGCGCCGTCACCGTCTTCAACATTCAAATCTCCACTCTGCTTCCACTTTCAAACAGGAGACGCACAACTGGTTTAAGGAAAAATTTTCCATGACATCACACAGCAAAATGTACTTAACAGAAATGACTGCTTATGACCAATGAAACCAGTGATTCAGGGTGGAATGTGGGCTCGCACAAACAGAAGAGGGTTTCTGTTTATAGCAGATAACTGTTATAGGAGATATGAGGATTTATTTATTCATTTATTTATTTAAAGAGTGCAAATAAATGACTTTGACGCTTTTACCATCACAAGTTTGGGGGCCTCTGTGAATTTCCTTGTAATTTCTTTAAGAAACTATGAGCTGAAGAGAGCCAAATGGAGTCACTCACGTTGTTTTTTATTTGTTTGTTTTTTAAAAAAATGAACTCTTATTTTAGGTGACATAAATGTATAATCACAAAGGAAATTCAAAACATAATATGAGACTAAAAAGTAGAAGCAAGAATTTACCTGAATATTGAGATTGAAACTTCTGCTAGCGTTTTAAACTTGAAAAAACTTTCATGAGTTTATCAGACTCATATGTCTTCCTGAACCACCTCACTCTGATTTCAGAGCCTTAAAGAAAAGTGACCAGGCTGCCAGCCTCCCTTCGGAGCCTGACATATACTCAGATCAAACTGCCTGGAGCCCACTGCTACTGCTCACACTCCCTGCGGCCTGTTCACAGTCTGTATGTGCAGGAGGCATCAGGTAGATATAAGCTCCATCTTTTGGAAGCCTCAGAACGCTAGGAAACAATGAAATCGGCAGTGAATGGAACACTAAAAACATGATTACTATTATCACTATTTAATGCAAAATTTACTTTGTTTGAATGTTCAACTATACATCCATCTGATTCAAGAAGTGCAAAAGATATGGAATGAAAATACACAATTGTGGCAAGTGCTAGCCGGTCAGCCTCTAGCTAGAATTTTCTATTTTGCTTATATAAAACTTTCTGTGATAATTTAAATTTAAGAAAGACAGTCTTGTATGACTGACAGAAATGTAGATGAAATGTAAAGAGGAAACTAACAAATCTAAAATTTAAGGGAACGTTCCAGGGCAGGTGTCATTTTGAAAGGGACACGATGTATTAAAGAACTGATGGGCTTTCAGGGTTGAAGGAGAGTAGGGAAGAACAGGGTATGAATAGGAAGAATAAAAAAGAAGAGGCTTAGCAGGTAATTTAAAGTAGAAGACTTAGGAGAATGAAGAAATATGGCACAATCCTGAAAATGGTAAAACAAAGAGTTGAAACTGTACCTTCAAAGAAGACATATAAGTAGGCTAGAAGAGTAACCCTAGATGAGATATGACAGAATTAGCACAGAGATAACCTAGAGAACACAAAGGAAGAAGCAAGAGAAAAATAACAGAAAGGATTCAAATTCTCAAGAATGGAAAAGCAGTGGACAATACTCATAAAACTACAGCATTTGATTTACCGGACAAAATACCTGCTAATAAGAGCAACGACATGAAGTTCTCCCTGCGCAGTATGTGCAGCTAGAGAAAG